TCACTCTGTGTCCCTGAAAACCCCTTCATAGGATGACTGCTTGGTCCCAGGCTGTGCAGTAGGAAATGGGCCTGGAGAATACTCCTCATCTAAGGGGAGGTGACTGAGCAACAGAGAGTTGGATGTAAGTGCCTCAGGCCACATAGCACTCTAAGGAAAATTTGCTGAATATGACTAGTGGGTCCGTAATCTTGTCCAAACTCTTCTTATTCCTCCCCAAATCTGCTCCTACTTCCCCCATCATCCCTCCAGTGCTCAAGTAAAAAAATAAAATAAAAATAAAAAACTGTTCTCCAACATTTCTTTTTTCTTTTTTTTTTGAGGAAGATTAGCCCTGAGCTAACTACTGCCAGTCCTCCACTTTTTGCTGAGGAAGCCTGGCCCTGAGCTAACATCCATGCCCATCTTCCTCTACTTTCTATGTGGGACGCCTACCACAGCATGGTGTGCCAAGTGGTGCCATGTCCGCACCCGGGATCCGAACCAGCGGACCCCGGGCTGCCGAGAAGCGGAACGTGAGCACTTAACCGCTGCGCCACCAGGCCAGCCCCCAACATCTCTTCATTGAACAAAGACTTGCATTATGTACCAGGAACTGTTTGGTGGTAAGACAAAATTCCTACCCTCGTGAGCCGACATTTTTTTTGTGTGCATGGGGGGTGGGAGTGAGTGGGTTATAGAGTAAATAAAAGTTCCAGAGTAGCTTGCAAAGTAAATTAAAGTTCCAGCTGGTAAACTCGACCCAGACATTATTAAGAATGTTTAATACATAAATTCTTATATTATATTCAGGGTATTTATAGGAGAAAAAAATGCATCATTTTTTTGTTCTCTTATCAAGACACTGCGGCATTTAAGCTAAACCTGTAGTAGTGCAAATGGGATTCAAGTCTCCAAGATGAAATCACAGGAATGAACGTCAAGACTGAGATGCAATGATGTTTTAGAAAACCAATCCCAAGCAGGAGCTACATGAACCATGTACTTTAGCCACTTGTGTAGCCAGAGTTGCAGTTTAAACAGTTTGATGGAACAGGTACTGTGAATACTGCTAATTGTACTGATGTTTGAAGAGGTATGAAAGCTTGTGCAAAAAGGATTAACACAGCAGGCCTGAGGCTGTGGCTTTAGAAGATCCTGTTTGCAAGGTTGGCCCTTGGCTGGCATCTGGGAACTTGGCTCTTAAAATGCTGTCTGTACCCTAAGTGATAAGGATGTCTCACTGTGTCTAGACTGTGCAAACAATGTGATTTACACTGAGCCCTGCTTTCCTTCTGGGAGTCTGGAATGTGGTACATGCTAGGCAGAAGGTGCCTGCTTGCCTGGTTCCCAGTGTTCTTTGTATGACCCCCTCAGGTGAGGGAGAGCATTGGAAGCCCACATAGGAAGCACACATAGGTTTTCCCAGACTTGGCCTGTCTTTTCCCTTACGATCCAACTGTTTATCCTTGTTACATCCCTGCAGTAAATCTTAGCCTTGAGTACAACTACACGCTGAGTCCCATGAATTCTTCTAGAAAATCTCTGGATGTGGGGGTACTCCTGTGAGCCCCTAATAGTTCCACTGCTAGTTGTAACAAAAATATGTTTAGGATTATTTTGATATCTGTATTTTAAAAAGGGGGAAGGGAGGGGTTGGCCTGCTGGCGCAGCAGTTAAGCGTGCATGTTCCACTTTGGCGGCCTGGGGTCCGCCAGTTCAGATTCCGGGTGCGGACATGGCACTGCTTGGCAAAGCCATGCTGTGGTAGATGCCCACATATAAAGCAGAGGAAGATGGGCACGGATGTTAGCTCAGGGCCAGTCTTCCTCAGCAAAAAGAGGAGGATTGGCAGCAGATGTTAGCTCTAGGGCTAATCTTCCTCAACAAATAAAAATAAAAATAATAAAAAATAAAAAAGGAGGAAGGGAGGATGGATTTGTTTTCTGTTAAAAGCAGCCCCTGGGTCACCCATAACAGATCTGGATCTGTTTAGGATTTTTGAAAGTAAGCCACAAATTTAAGTGAAACCAACAGAGAGGAAAAAGATACAGTCATATGTCACTTAACAAGGCAGACATGTTCTGAGAAATGCATTATTAGGTGATTTCATCATTGTGTGATCACAGAGTGTACTTACACAAACCTAGATGGTATAGCCTACTGCACACCTAGGCTATATGGTTCTAATCTTATGGGACTACTATTGTATATGCAGTCTGTTATTGACTGAAATGTTGTTAGGCAGCGCATGCCTGTGTATGCATATACAATTTTGAGATTACTCTTTACGAAAGGTTACAAAAAAAAAATAGAAAGTGTCCTCAAACTATGCAAATTATCTAGGTACTACCTCAGCCTGACTAAGTGGACTCTCTGAAGATGGTCCTGGGAACCCAAAATTCATCTCCATTCAGATGAGTCTTACACACATTTCAATTCGGAACCACTGGCTTCTGGGTATAAGAATTATTTTGGGTGGAAAGGTCTCAGGTTCCTATTTCAAATGAGCCCACTTCTTGGGTCCTGAAGAGCCTCAGGTTTCAGACTTACAAAAGGGCAGAACAGCTATCAGAGCAGGGCCTGACGCACTCCCTGTGTACACACCAGCTACTGTCCTTCCAATCCCTGCACACACATCCTTCCTGTGTGATTCACACTGGGCGTAGTCACCAGGAGTACGTGGCTGCCAAGTCCATGTGGTGTCCCCATTTTGGAAAGAAGGGACTTGAGGACACTGTGGTATCACTTGCACCTTTCGTATCTCAGCCTCTAGTAGCGCCTTCATTGAATGAGGCTATTTTCAAGACTCACTGAATGGAAATGTCTCAGATGTTTGGTCAGCAAGCATTGTCAACATATGTTCACTCTGCTGGATCTCTTGGACAGGCCCTTCCTCTCAGGCTCCAGCATCTTCTGAAGGCTATACATTGGTCCTGGCACCAGGAGGAACTTCCCAACCAGGAGGCAAGGTCCCCACCTGTTCTGTCCAGACTGCCCTAGGCAAGGCATTTCCCATCCCAACCTCAGGGTCTCACCTGAATCATGAGGCCTATGTTACTTAAAGGGTTATATGAAAGGTACCAGGTAACTGCCAGAGTGACCTTGGGGAAGTACATTCAGTGGTTGGTGGTTATGCAAACTCACACACCTGTCTTGCCCCTTCAGAATGGATTCTACCCGGTTGTCCCCAGATACCAGCACCTTCCAGGTCCCTACTTTTTGGGGTCCACTGACTTCCTGGTGATAAGGCTTCTGGAAAATCAAGTCTCAAAAGACTAAACCACCTCCTTTAATTCTGGGGACTTCTAAGAAGTCCAGGAGCCTTTCTGACCTACTGGAATCAATTCTAATTGGCCAAATGGAAGAGTCTGACATCTTTTCTTTTTGTTCTTGCTTTTAAAATTGTCAATTTACTATCACAGTGACACTGAATCAAAAGAAGGAAAACTGTACATAGTCTCACAAAACAATTACAGATGTCCTCATGTTTTGCTTGCCTATAGGTACACATTTGAAATAATTTGTTAGCCAAATAACAAGTGTACCACCAGGGAAGGAAATACTGCAGAAAGTTTAAAACGGAAAGCAGCATCTTCTGCCCCACCCCACCTGACAGTTATGCAACCCAACGACCACTTTTACCATTTCCATTCCGGTTCTTCCTGAGCTACCTCTGGAATTCTGATCTTTCGTGGCCTAGAGACTTTACTGACTTCCTGCTCTGATGAGAAATTTAGATTTGACTCACATCACTGCTCCTCTATTTGCTCCCAATTTTTGTCATATTAGTATTGAACCCCAATTTTGGTCTCCTAATTAACCTATTATATTTAAAAGCCCACATCTAAGAGTAGGCTACAGGGACCCCCCCACCCCCGACTTTACAACAGCTGCAGCCTGTGCTGTTACTGTTCATGACAGGGCTGACAACAAAGGTGCTCTACCATGCTGCCATTATGAAATCCTCATGTCACAGCTCTGGGTTTCTTCCACAAATTAACACCACCAGTACCTACTGTTTATATCATATCCATGCAAATACTGTTCAGTGAAGGGCCAATCAAAAGAATCTGATTATATTTCCCTCTTTTATTTCAATTTCCTAAGTCCTCTGCCTCTTCCAGGAAGAATTATCAGCATCAGGGTCAAATGAATACTACTTTCTAAAGTTTGCTTCATATTTGGGCAATTGTCTTGTACCATCTGTACACTTTCTTGAACAATTTCTTGACCTCAAAGTCTCTGATTACCTACTTTTTTTTTTTTAATTCAAAGAAACATTCCTTTTCTTTAAAAAAACCACATTCCTTTCTTGGTTTCAAAATTATTCTCTCCAGAAGATTCTGCAATATCTTCTTAATAATGGTGTTCTCAATTTTTCATGCTGTATGGATCTTACATCAATCCTGGATAGTGGTTGGCATGATCTGAAGATATTCCTTCAGCTCTGGGAAGTTTTCTTTTTTTTGGGTCAAGAATCTTATAAAAATTTTATTTTCTTCAAGATTGGCACCTGAGCTAACAACTGTTGCCAATCTTTTTTTTTCTTCCTGTTTTTCCTCCCTAAATCCCCCCAGTACATAGTTGTATATTTTAATTGTGGGTCCTTCTAGTTGTGGCATGTGGGATGCTGCCTCAGTGTGGCCTGACGAGTGGTGCCATGTCCGTGCCCAGGTTCCAAACCAGCGAAACCCTGGGCCGCCGACGTGGAGTGTGTGAACTTAACCACGCAGGCACGGGGCTGGCCCTTTTACTTGAAATTTCATAGTCTATTCTTGTTTTCACAATTCTCTTTTCTAAAGAGCATCTTGTATTTATCTTTTATTTGCAATTATATCTTGACTTGCTCTTAGAACAAAACATTTTAAATATTTGGTTACCGTGAACAGTTATTTTCTTCGGGGCTGTTTTTCCTTAGGTATTTTTTCTTCCATGTTGGAGGCTTTCTTCAAGCCTCTGGCTCCTTGGCTCCCACCCATACAGAAGGGGCTATTGGAAAGCAGATGGGAAGCTCCATAGATGGGGGGAGGCAGTTTAATGGCATACCTTGCTTTAGGGGGAAAAGGGCAAGAACTAGAAGGTCCTTGAAATGCCAAAACAAGGCAGCCCTTGTTCAGGAGCATAATACACCAGATTCCCTACTCCTCCAGACTAATTTTTTAGCATATAACTCATTCCCTTCTTTACTTATTGCTTACCCACAGCCAGATACTTAATGCAAGACAAGAAAAAAAGGGGAGGTCGGGGGAGAAAACTTGGGAGTTTCATGGCTAGACCTTCAATTAACTCTTCTCTCCTGCTCCACCTGTCAGTCGGCAGCTCTGTGGGGGTCCCATGACCACCACAGCTGCAGTCCTCTCTTCATGCTCCTGGCTTCAGCCTTTCCCACTCTGCATCTTCAGGTGACATCTCCTACCTGCTTTCATCTTGCTCAAGTTTGCAGTAATGGCCTCTCCCATGTTGTTCACCATTGTTGATTTACATTTCAGCCGTTTTTTGAACACGCTGCTCAATTGACCTTCTTAACCATCTATGTACACGTTTTTATGTAGTTGTAATGTTTTGTGTACATACTATTTTGGGTCCTGTTTTCATTTCACCTGATATTTTTCATATTGCTATGCACCCAGTTCTGATTACAGTCAACCTAACTGTGCAACAAAGGTGAGTTAGAGTAGAACAGAGTCCCTGAAATACTCAGAGTCTACCTTTAATTCTAATAAAAACCATTTCAGAAGACTTCCCATCCTTAGTCTTCCTTCAATTTGTGTTGTTAATTGCTGGTTTACATTGAAAATGGCTGGTTTTCTAGTTCATCACTCAACACCAACTTCCTCATGCAATGATTTCTTCTTTGATGAAATGTTTGGGACTCTGTATCAGGAATATCTTCCAGTCCCCCATCATTTCTAGGAATGTGTTACAGGGACAACATCTGATTAAGTTTGGCTGGTTGTTTGCACTAAAAAGATTATCTGGTAGGGAATTCAGAATGGCATTGTACCCAAGTCCTGTTAAGAGCTCTGACTGAGTTTTTCATCAGTGGTCCCGATCATAGCTTCTCACCTAAATTCAGAAGTAAACACATTTTAGTGTACATACAAATCACTTGTGCTGCTTTTGGAAACTGCAGGCTCCTGGGTTTTAATGCTAGAGATTCTGATTTTGTAGATCAGGGTGAGCTTGATAACGTGCAGTTTCAACACACACACCAAGCAATTCTGATGCATGTGGTCACTAGACCACATTCTGACAGTCATACTTTGGTCATCTGATGTCTAGTAAAGTAGGTCTGGCAGTAAGCTTTTCCATCTTGATTATTCATAGGTTTTCTCTCTCATGAGTTTTCTCATGTTGAACAAGGGAAGTATTATAACTGAAAGATTTCCCACATTCGTTACATTCATAGGGTTTCTCTCCAGTATGAATTCTCTGATGCCTAGTAAGTTGACACCGCTGGCTAAAGGCCTTTTCACAATGATTACACTCATAGGGTTTCTCACCAGTGTGTGTTCTCTCATGTTTTGTAAGGGTTGATCGATCACTGAAGGCTTTCCCACAGTTGACACATTCATAGGGCTTTTCTCCAGTATGTGTTCTCTGATGTTCAATAAGGCGTGACCTCTGACTGAAAGCTTTAACACACATCTTACACTGATAGGGCTTCTCTCCAACGTGTGTTCTCTGATGCACAATGAGGGGAGACCTCTGGCTGAAGGCTTTTCCACAATGACTGCATTTATAAGGTCTCTCTCCAGTATGGGTTCGCTGATGCACAATAAGCTGTGATCGCTGCCGAAAAGCTTTCCCACAGTCATTACATTCATATGGTTTCTCTCCAGAATGAATTCTCTGATGTGAAAGAAGGTGAGAGCTCCCAGTAAAGGCTTTCCCACACTGATCACATTCAAAAGGCTTCTCTCCAGTATGAGTTCTCTGATGTTCAATGAGGTGAGAGCTCCCAGTGAAGGTTTTATCACACTGATTGCATCTATATGGCTTCTCTCCAGTGTGAATTCGCAGATGCCTAATAAGTTGAGTGCTTCGGATGAAGGATTTTCCACACTGGTTACATTCATAGGGCTTCTCTCCAGTGTGCGTCCTTTTATGTGCAACAAAGTCAGAGCTTTGGCTGAAGGATTTTCCACAATGAGCACACCCATAAGGCTTCTCTCCAGTATGAATTCTTTGATGTACAATAAGGTTAGAGTTCCACCTGAAAGATTTCCCACATTCATGACATTTATATGGTTTTTCTCCAGTGTGAGTTCGCTGATGCCTAATAAGTTTGGAACTCTGGGTGAAGGATTTCCCACACTGGTTACATTCATAGGGCTTCTCTCCAGTGTGAGTTCTCTCATGTACGACAAGGTCATAGCTCTGGCTGAAAGACTTCCCACACCGGCTACATTCATAGGGCTTTTCTCCAGTGTGTGTCCTCTGGTGCACAACAAGCTTAGAGCAACAGCTGAAAGATTTTCCACACTGATTACAGGCACATGGCTTCTTTCTGGTCTGAATGTCACAGTCAGTAAAAGATGAGGCCACATGGAAGGCATCACAGTCCTCCTCATACCTGAATGGTACCTTTCCAGGATCTCTTATTTCAGTTTGTACAAGGCATTCGTCACACTCACACTGACTTTCCCCAAAATGCATTGGCTTGTGTTCACTCAGAGATAGGCTATGGTTAACGATGTCTCCATAGTCCTTACAGTCATTACTGTTCTCTGCTGAAGAAATTATATTATGAAAATGAAGGGAGGTATCACAGTTGAAAGAGTCACTACTGACAGTATATTCACAAGGTTTTTTATTTCCCATTTCACCATTTGCAAGTTTATTCAAGTAAATGCTCTGACAGAAGGCTCTAACACTTTGATGACTTTCACAGGGCTTCAAGTCAGTCCAGTCTTTCTGATGATTAATGAAAACTGAATTCTGTTTCAACTTTTTAACCTGTGCATTGAACTTTTGGAAATGTGTTCTTATGGGTAATGTTGAAGGTAGAAGGCTTAAGCTCAGATAACTTCCCCAAAGGTCATGCTCACAATGTTCCCCTTGAGCAAACAGTCTCTCTGACATGAGTCTTGTTTGACTCCAAGAGTCCTCCTGGTGCTCTCCTAGCTGGTCCCTCCAATCCTGCTCTTCTCCTAATGACAGGGACCAGAAGCCCTCTTCCCAGACACAGTGTTTCACTTCCACGTGGTGGGATGTATCCTCTGCAGCAGTACCCTCTTTGGAAGTTGGCTCTTTCTTTTCAAGTGTAGTCTTCCAGTCTGAAAGAAATCCAAAATGTCTGAAAAATGGAGAAGCATCAGAGGGGAGGGTGAGATGAAGGAGACCACTAAGTATGAGAAGTGTCTCTGGGTTGGTTTCTAATCCATAGACTGTAATTTCACACAGGACATGAAAGGGAGGGATGGATCAGCAAACAGGAAATCAGTGGTAAAGTACAAAAAACAAGCAAAGATAATGAGGTGGTGACCCAGGAAGACTGGTCCCCAAAGAGGGAGCAATGGAATAAGAAGCAGCAGGGGAGGGTGAAGATTAAGGGAGAATTCACAGAAAGAATTGGGTCTGAAAGTATACAGCCCTCAATAACCACAAAAGATACCTATGTCCTAATTGCTGGGACCTGTGAATGCAGTGCCTTATTTAGAAAAAGGGTCTTTGCAGATGCATTAAGGATCTCGAGATGGGGAAATTATCTGGTGGGCCCTAACTGTCATCACAAATGTCCTTATATGAGGGAGGCAGAGGGAAATCTGATACACACAGAGAAGGTGATATGAAAATGGAGCAGAGAGGTTTGAATATGTTGGCCTTAAAGACTGAAGTGATGTGGGCATGAACGAAGGAATGCCATAGCCACCAGATCCTGGACAAGACAAGGAGAGATTTTATCCTGGAGCTTCCCAAAGGAGCATGGCCCTGCTGACACCTTGATTTCAGCCCAATGATATTGATTTCAGGTTTCTGGCCTCCAGAACTGTGGGAGAATCAATTTGTGCTGTTTTAAGCCATTCAGTTGGTAATTTGTTACAGCAGCCACAGGAAACTAAGATGGGATCCTAACTGGTGCTTCTACCTAGATTACTGACCCTTAGTTTATTTATTTCCTAGTTTTGGATCTTGAACAGGATTCCAAATACCAGTACTGACTTAATATTCTCTTTTTTCTTTTCCTCAAAGCCCCCCAGTGCATGGTTGTATATCTTAGTTGTACGTCCTTCTAGTTCTTCTATGTGAGCCGCTGCCTCACCACAGCAACTGACAGATGGGTGCTGTGGTTCTGCGACCAGGAAACAAACCTGGGCCACTGAAGTGGTGAAGTTAACTACTAGACCATCATCGCTGATCTGACTTAACATATATATATTTTTTGGTGAGGAAGACTGGCCCCGAGCTAACATCTGTTGCCAATCTTCCTCTCTTTTTTTTTTCTCCCCAAAGCCCCAGTACATAATTGTATGTCATAGTTGTAGGTTATTCTAGTTCTTCTATGCAGGATGCTGCCACAGCATCACTTGATGAGTGGTGTGTAGGTCCACACCCAGGATCCAAACCAGTGAACTCCAGGCTGCCAAAGTGGAGCGTGAGAACTTAACTGCTTGGCCACAGGGCCAGGCCCTGACTTAATATTCTTTTTTTTTTTGAGGAAGATTAGCCCTGAGCTAACTACTGCCAGTCCTCCTCTTTTGGCTGAGGAAGACTGGCCCTGAGCTAACATCCATGCCCATCTTCTTCCACTTTTTTATATGTGGGACGCCTACCACAGCCATGTCCACACCCGGGATCCGAACCAGCGAACCCTGGGCCACCAAGAAGTGGAACGTGCACACTTAACCACTGCACCACCGGGCCAGCCCCATGACTTAATATTCTTAACACATCACTTCTACCATTTCTTCAGGCTGCCCACAGAGGAAAAAAAGTCTTTTGAATCACCCCAGAATTGATGCCACAGACTCCCCAGAAAAGCACTGTCATCCCAGAAGCAGCATGGTTGGCCAAACTGGGCTGCAACCAACTGGCCACTTCTGAGGCTCATTTTCCTGGGCAGTAAGCCAGGAACAAGAATGTGTAGTTTGCAAGGTTCACTGTGAGGTGTAAATGAGTCAATATGTGAGCCTCACACGGTGTGTGGTACATGGTGCACTGTTAGCACATGGTACTGTTGATAAAGTCACACTTGTTACAGTCCTACTGGGGACTCCCCCCTCTGCTGAAGATACTGGGCGTCTTACAATGAGTGCCACAGGCTCCCAGCTCAGGACTCTGGCCTGGTCCTCCAAGATTCCCCCTTTACTTGTCACTCTGTCCATTTTAGTCATGTAGCCACTCATATCCAGTGCTATCAAGGCCTCTGCTTGAGTCCCCATGCTTTGCTCTCCAGGCCTGCCAAGGAGACAAAGATCCTCCTTCTGGCAAAGTATTAACTACACTCTCTAGCCATCACTTACCTTCCAAGAGGATGTTTCCCTCATGTCAGAGACCCTCTTTCTCTCTTGGGCAACGTCCTTACCTACACTCAACATCCTCCACAATCAACATAGTTCTCCTTCCTAAAACTCTCCAGTTTTCCTTTGGAGTATGGCCTTGGAATCCCTGTTGATAAAGAATCTTTTCAAATGCAACAATGGTTCAACAAAGGAGAGTGAAAGGGTATTTGAGGATGAGAAGGAGGAAAGAAATCTTTGGTTGGCTAAGATATGTCCAAGTTGTGCCTAGCCATTGGAAAATGGGCAAAGGAGGCTAAACATTCTACAGCAGTATCTCCATCAGGAACATGAAATGAGGAAGACAGACTGTGCAGGTCAGCCAGAAAGTAACGTCTATGACAGACTAGAAGGGAGACGCTGCCAGTAAACCGAATAGAGAATGACGTCATTTGAGAACCAAAGATAAGTACATGTAGGTGAGACTTCAGAGGAAGACATAACAGGCTGCAGGTGAGAGTCACAGGGTAGGAAGGAGCAGGAATACACGGGATAAATTCAACACCTCCAGGTCAGGGGCATGTCAGATATGTGAAGGACACATATGATGCTTATTGCTAAGCGAAAGCAGCCAGTCAGAAAAGGCTATACATCCATGATTCCAACTACCGGACATTCTGGAAAAGGCGAAACTCAGAGAGACAGTAAAATAATCAGTGGTTGCCAGGAGTTAGGGTAAAGGGAGGGATAAACAAGTGGGGCAGAGGATTTTTAGGGCAGTAAAACTACTCTGTATGATACTATAATGGTGGATATATGACATTATACATTAGTCCAAACTCACAGAATGTACAACACCAAGAGTGAACCTAATGTCAACTACTGATCTCTATTGATAATAATGTTATCAATACAGGTTCATCAATTTTAACAAATGTACCACAGAATGCAAGATATTAACAATAGGGGAAACTGTACGGGGCGGGTGGTATATGGGAACTCTGTACTTTCTGTTCAACTTTCTGTAAACATGAAATTACTCTAAAAAAATAAAGTCTGTTAGTTAAAACAAAACAATAAAAAAATCAGAAGCAGCCCAATTAGTTGGGGTGATGAGCATGTTCTAAAACTGATTGTGGTGATGGATGCACAAGCTGTGAATATACCGAAAGCCTTTGCATACTTTAAAGTAGTGAACTGTATGGTATGTGAATTGTATCTTGATACAGCTGGCAAAAAAAAAATTCCAATTAGGCTGACACACTGGGACGTATAAGGAGATGGGTCTATGGGATGAGGAGAGGCGGGAAAGCAGGTCCAGGAATGGCCACTTAGGAATCCTGGAAGGGTTGCTGCCATTTCCTAGGTCACACGAGTTCTCATCACACCTCAGGATCACCTAGAAGTCATGGAAACGTCCAACATGGAGGAGGGGTGGACATCCAACTGCAGGGCAAAGGCCAGGCTTGAAGGGGAGGCCCAAGGAGCTGCTGCCCCAGGTGCAAGTCAGGATCAGGGACTCAAGGAAGAGAGGCGGCACAAGGACCTGGGAATAAGACAAGTTGGCTGAGGGGTGAAGACCAAAGGGAAGATGTGAACAGAGTGAACCTTCATGTGATAAATGGCTGGATGACAGTGACATGTGTTCTTCATGGCCTGGGACAGAGGGACAGGCTGACGTGGATGGGAACGTGGCTGCCTTCTTAGACATGAGGAGGCAGCAGAGAACACCGAGGAGGCTCCCCACAAATGGCCTCCCTCCTCCTCAGACCCGGGGCCCAAAGAGAGCCCTCTGCCCATGTTAACCGACTGGGCTGTGGGCCGGCTCTCACCTTGGGGGGGTCCCTGCCTCGCCCTCCATGGGTCTTCCCCTTGCTCCAGCCAGGAGATCATGTCCGGTTTGGAAAGCAGAAGCCCTGGTCAAGGGGGAAAACACAGGACTTGGTGCTCTGCTTGGAGACAAGGAGAACCATGTCCTCGGGCCCGGCCCTTTGCCCTGGGGTCAGATGTGGATGGACTAGGAGGGCCCCAGCACCATCCCAAGCAAACTCCTTGCTCCCTGAACTACAGGTCACAAACCTGCCATGGAGGCAGAACAAGTGGCCCACCCAGGATCTGCATCTCAAAGGAACCCACTTCTGGAATGCTTCCTCCCAGCCTAGGTGCACCTATGAGAAGAGCCAAAGCTTTGAGCCCCAGAGCCCGCCTTACCCAGGGAGAACAGGTGGCTGCAGGTCTCCAGAGTCACGTCACGGTACAGCATCCTTTGGGCTGGGTCCAGCTGTCCCCACTCCTCACGTGTGAAGGTCACAGCCACGTCCTTGAAGCTCACAGGGGGCTGAAACATCACTGTGTTACCATGAGGCCCTGCCTCCCGACGTGGAGGGTGGGGGGTTGGGGTGGCACAGGGGACGGAGAGGACGTGCACTGAAGATAATGTCCAGGAGTGCCCCAAAGGTTCCTGGCTTTGGGCTGTACTCAGGTCAAACACAGACCCAGGCACATGGCCCTTCACCTGCCAGCCTTCCTTGAGAGCAGGCTTGAGCAGCCTTTTCTGGTGCCAGGCCCAAGTCGGCATCTTAGCTTCACAACTTACTATCTGGACATCTGGACATGTCTCTGAACTTCTCTGGCACGAGTTGCCCTGACATGACTATGAAGACAGCCTCCCATATCAGGGAGTCTCACAGGACATGAGGGGAACTGGGCCCTGGCACCCGGGAAGCATGCAGACAATGCCTGTGGTGTTGGGACCCTGAACAAGGTCAGGGACCTGCTCCTTACCCCATAGCGTGCTGCTGGTCTCTAAGGGTATGGAGGCTCCACTCTGCCTGCCCTTGAGGGCCCACTGAGCAACGACCACAAACAGGAGGTCTGAAGCAGAGACCGGGCCCATGGAACAAAGTAAGGGAGGCTCAGGCTGGGTCAGGTCCTAGGAGCTCCTGGCCCATTCACACAAGGAAGGCAGGGAGCCCCTGGGCGTCTCCCGAAGGCATAAGGCAGCATTACTGAGCTCCCATGTGTGCCGGCCTGAGGAGGCTGGTGCTACTCGTGGAGCCATTTTGCAGCCGAAGAGACTGAGGCAAAGAGAGTGAAGGTCCCTCACTCACCTGGGATGGGACCGGCTGAGAATGCGCTTCTGTTTCCTCCTCATAGCTGAAAAAGTTGTCGTGAAGAGGGCAGAGATCCTCAGAAGGCAGGGCTGGGGTTAGGGGAATAATTAGGGATTCAGCCCCACTTCAGAAGCCCCAGGCTCACAAGCCCACCCCCAACCCCCAACAAACGAGAGGTGGCTGGTACAGCTGAGGAATATTCTCTTGGGGTGTGAGGAGCAGGAAGGCAGGGCTCCGACCTCGCCAAGGCTCTGAGGTCAGACGAGGTGGTAAAGCTGGCTTTCCAGTTGCAGAGTGGGCCAGCTGCCTACGTCTGGGCCTGGGCTGCCCCAGGCTCGAGGTGAGTGCCCAGGCACGCACTGGGGTGTCTGAACCACGAGTCCATAGATACACAGTTGTCCCTCTAGTCAGAGAAGGAAGGGCCAATTTCTCCAGTCATTTCAAGAGACCAAATAGGAGGAGGCAGAGTGTCAAAACAACAGTACAATTTAAAAATATCCCAATGAAACATCAGCTGGTTTCCAAAAAAACCTGTTTAGTTTTCACATACCAGTGAAACATGAGCTGATTGAAAAAAAATTTTAAATATCACAATGAAACACTGGCTGGTTTCCAAAAATGAGGGGTCTGGGGGGGGTGAGAATGGGGATAAGGAAGATATGAAAATTCCCAGGAGGACAGCTGAGGACACTCGATGATGGGGTGGTGTCACAGGCGTACCCTCCTTCGAGCCATTCTGGAGGTGCAAGGATGCTGTCCCACAGCCTGGGTGGCTCACTCATCACCCTCTGCTTTCCTTCACTTCGTCATCATTTCCCACACTCTGCTTGTCCCACTGAGACAGCCAGGCAAAAACCCTCCTAAATCTTGCCCCCAATCCTTCCCCATATTTGACTCCAGCTGACCCCACTGAAAGCACACCCACACCCATGCCTGTGCTCGCACACCATCTCCCCAGTCACTGGTCAGCGGGATGGCCCAACACCCCACAAATGCATCCTGTGCGGTGCCTTTGCTCACACCCAACAACCGCTCACTTGGCCAGATGGCGCCTCTCACTCACCTGGCGCCTCTGGCTGAACTCTCACCCTCTTGAAACTCAGAACTACCATCTGGCCTAGAGGCCCCAAGGGACAACGACTGTCACTCGTGACTTCCAGGAGGCAGACATTCACCATTCTCCCAGCTTTGAACACTGGCATTTTCCTCACCTCACTTTCTCTATAAAACCCATTTTCCTGGAGAACCAAGGATCGAGTCACAAGTCAGGGAAATCATGCTCTCTCCGTGCCTCATGTTTCTGGCAGGTCTCACCTTTGTCTTCAAATGCTTGGGTAAGTTCTTCCACCAGCATCATCTCCTCTTTGTGGTTCTCCAGGTGCTGGGGTTTCTCTTAGGTCCTGAGCTCCCGAGAGCGTGCGTTGGGGGGCCGCTCCTGGACACTGCCAGCAGGAACACAGGGCCAGCACCACCTGCAGCTACTGGAACCATGAAACCCTCCAAGGCAGCTTCCCGCCAGCTCTTATTTCCAAGACAGTCTCTTCTGGGAACCCTACTGCTTCGACACACAGCTGGGGTCTGAGAGCTCCCTTAACTCTGCAAGGACGCTCTCCTTCTGGGCACAATCTAGGCAGTGGGTCCCAATCTCTCTTCCTCACACAAACTTACAGTTCTTCAGGCAAAACAAGCATTCAACTCCTCTCAGAATAACTAGAAAATGAAGAGAAAGCAAGCTGAGCAGCTATTTCCATGCTGACACAGAAGATGATGCCTTCACACCGCAGGGCTGTGTCTGACCTGGCACCCGACCAGGAGATACGGCAGCAACGCACAGGCAACGGATGGAACGCCAGAATGATCAGAATTGAGGTCAAATAAGGAATTTGGGGGGGAAAACCATTCATATCCCACTAAAAAATGTTTAAGGCAGAACATAAGTCTGTGAACAAACGTTCAACGTTCAAGTCTCTTAGAGTTGGTGTGAGCACACGTTTACCTGACTTGCAGCATTAAACTCAAAGAATAAAATGACCTCCCCCCAAAAAGGCAAAAGCTCCATCCATCCACAACATGGGGTGGCCACATGGCCAGCACACAAGCGGCTGACTCCGCAGACCTGAGTTCTCCACGTCCTGCACATCCTAAGGAAAGGTCTATTCCATGACCAGCTGCAGGGAGGTCACCTCTGAGTCCTTGGGGATATCCTGCCTGATAAAATGTCTTTGTTTCCTCGGGGACCCCTCCACAGTGAGTGCCAGACTCAATGAAAGGACAAGGCCACCAAGAGGAAGATGTCTCCAGGACGTGTAAGAAAGTCGGCCATTTCTGTAGAGCAGTGGCTCTCAACTGGGGGTGGTTTTGCCCTCAAGGGACATCTGGCAATGTCTGAAGACATTTATGGTCGTCACAACTTGGCAAGGGGTGGATGTAGAGGGGAAAACTACTGGCTACCATCTAGTGGGTAGAGGTGAGAGACGTACTAAGCATCTTGAAGCGCACAGGACAGCCTCACCAGAGAATGACCGGCCTCCTGCGTGGAAAGTGCCAGGGACGAGAGATTCCGCTTCACAGACAGACAGGAACTTGAGGGCAATGCTGCGTCACGGGGGCACCAGGATTCTTCAGCTCAGGGCAATCTTACAGATCAGCATATCTGCAGAAAATCTGAGGCTATAGATCACTCAGCCCCCTTTATTTTCACTAACTTCTCTTCTTGAGTGAAATGGAGAACTCAGAGGTTGGTTAGGTCAGAAGTGACAGCCAGCTCTCAGGATCCTCACCTCTCACTCACCACAAAAGGCTGTCACCCACCGGATGCCACCACACCTGCGACCACATCCCCTTCCACTCTTTCCTCCTCTGCTCACGGTGTCTCAGTTGACCCCTCTGTTTGCACACTGATTGGGGTTTTGCAAATTTTTTTTTTTAAACTTTAAAGATTTTATTTTTTTTTTCCTTTTTTCTCCCCAAAGCCCCCCGGTGCATAGTTGCACATTCTTCGTTGTGGGTCCTTCTAGTTGTGACATGAGGGACGCTGCCTCAGTGTGGTTTAATGAGCAGTGCCATGTCTGCACCCAGGATTTGAACCAACGAAACACTGGGCCGCCTGCAGCGGAGTGCGCGAACTTAACCACTCAGTCACGGGGCCAGCCCCAAGTTTTGCAAATTTTTTTACCATGACTGTGGTTGGCTGAAAAATGGCCCCCAGAAGACGTCCATGTGCTAATCTCCAGAACCTGTGACTATGTCACCTCCCATGGCAAAAGGGACTCTGGAAATGAAATTCAATTCAAGATCCTGAGATGGGGAGATTGTCCTGGATTTTCTGGGTGGGCCAATGTCATCACAGTGCTCCTTACAAAGAGGGAGGTAGGAGGGTCAGGGACGGAGGAGGAGAGGTGCTAACAAAAGCAGAGGATACTGGGCTGTTAACCAACACGTTGTCCCTGCCCTTTGTGCTGCAAACCACTCATGTATGTATTTCCCAACCTGGAAATGTTTATTTTAACACCTGATCCCCACCCTTGTGCCAAGAATGCGGGGGGCCGAGCTAGGACACTAAAAGTCCTTCTTGACACCTCCTCCATGCTCAACTGTCACATTCGGTCAGTCACAAAGACCCGGGGACCCTGCCTTTCAAATATCACGCACCTCTCCACACCCCTGGTCCTCAATGCCTGGCCCTGCTATTGCTTCTTGCTTGGGATACCACAGCAGACCTGACTGGGTCCTGCCTCTTATCTTTCCCCTGTTCTCCCAGGAAACCATGGGGACCTACAGGATGCAGCATCTATCACAACACTCTTCTAAGTGCAGCTTCTCGCTGTGCTCAGGTTAAACTCCAAATTCCTCCACAGGCTTTGGAAGTTCTTTTCCAGATTGAAACCACCCATGGAGTTCTGGTTCAGATGCCCACCGTGTGTGTCAGTCATGTGAACATCTTTCAGTTCCCCGTGCTCCCAATGCTGCACCTCTAGTCATTGGTACGTGCTTTCCCATCTGACAAGCACCTCATCACTTTGCTGACTCCTCAAGTCTCTGTTTCCATGCCAATTAGGGGCCATGCAAATGAAACTCTGGGCTTCTAGCGAAGTTCACACATTGGGGTGTCCACTCTGCTCCTTTGACAGATAAGATACAAAAAGGAAACATATAAGAGACACAGCACAGATAAAAAGCAGCACTGAAGTCTCCATGGATGAGTGGAAAGTACAGCAAAGTGGTGGTGGGTGTGGGGTCCTTGGGCGATGGGCTTTTGGGGGCCATGCAGGAAGCTGGCAGAGGCTGGGGTTTGGTTCCTGTGGCCTGAGAGGATGAACCACGTGCCAGGCTGTGCTGCACCAGAGTGGAGGCCTCAAACTGAAACCAGAACCCACAGTACCCCTACCCTACTTGCTAAGAAATCTGCTGACAAAACTGCATGAGATGAGCAAGCTGCTCACCTGGTGCATCAGTTCCCTGCGGCTGCTGAAACAAACTGCACAAACATGTAGCTTAAAACAACAGGAACTTATTCTCCCACAGTTCTGGAGGCAAGAAGCTTTTCTGCTGAATGCCCTTTTTATTTGTTGCTTTCATCTCTTTGCGATTTGTTCTGAGAAATGGGTGAGCTGAGGCTATAAAACATCTAGGAGGGCATTCCTAACTCATGATTTTCTTTTTAAAAGTCACCAATAGGTAAAAGTGAAGAGGTCTGAACAGCCAAGTCAGAACTGAGTAAACTAATACCCAGGAAGCTGCCCAACCTCACCAGAACCAAGAACCCCAAATGCAGGCTAAGGTGTGGCCACGAGAACTGCTCAGAGGAAATCTGTTACAAATGGAGAGCAGCATGGCAATGTATAACAAGAGGCTGAGTTATCAAGGTCTCAAGTCTAGAAATCCCATCACCAAAGTGATGGAAGACATTTTAAGGTTAAAGAAAAAAAAATGTGTGTGGGGGTGTAGCCTACATCTTTGATAGTAAGAGTTAAGCAGTCTGTGGAACATCCTCTTGATGTTTTATTGTGGAACCTTTAAAGTAAGACTTTCAATGAATAATATTCAGGAGGAATGTTCAAAGTTCTAAAACTTTTAATTTATTTAAAAGTCACAGAGCAATCACAATCTCGGGCATTTATTCCAGATAAATGAAAACACGCATGCAGAAGCCTGTATGCAAATGTTCATAGCAGAAATTTTCATAACAACCAAATACTGGAAACAACCAAAATGTCCTTCAATGGGCGAATGGCTGAAGGCTGGTACATATATACCATGGGAAATTACTTAGCAATAAAAAGAATGAACTATTATACATAACCTGGATAGCTCTCAAGGGCATTAAATTTAGTGAAAAACATTAATCTCATAGGTCAATTAAAAAAAGAGAGAGAGAGAGAAACATACCATGTTCATGGATTACAGGACTTGACATAGTAAAGATGTCAATTCTCCCCAAATTCATCTATAGGTTCAACCAATCCTATCACAATCCTAGCAAGGTTTTTGTAGACACGCACAAATTTACTCTAAAATTTATATGGAAAGAGAAGGGCCCTAGAATACCTAAAACAAATTTGAAACAGAGGAATAAATTGGGACAAGTTACTCTTCCTGACATTAAGGCTCACTACAGAACCGCAGTAATCAACAGTGCGGTATAAGCAGAGGAATGAACACCTAGATCAATGAAACAGAATAGGGAACCCAGAAACAGACCCAGAAACATATACCCAGTTTATTATTATTTTTTTAAGGTATAAAAGAATCCATTGGAGGACTGAAAAGCATCCAAGAAACGGTGCCAACAATTGGATATGCACAGGCAAAAAAACGAACCTCAACTTATCTCACATCTTACACAAAAATCAACTCAAAATGGATCACAGACATATATAAAACATAAAACATTTAGAAAAAAATAGGAGAAAATCTTCAGGACCTACAATGAGGCAAAGAGTTCTTTGACTTGACATCAAAAGCATAACACACGATAAACTGGACATCAAAATTTTAAAAAACGTTTGTTGCCTGAAAGCCCATGTGGACAGAATGAAAAAGACAGATTATACATTAGGAGAATATTTGCAAACCACATTTCTGACAAAGGACTCATAGCTAGAACACACAACGAACTCTGAAAACTCAACATTAAATAAACAAAAAAAGTCCAATTAGAAAATGGATGAAAGACATGAAACAAACATTTCACCAAAGATAAACAGATGGCAAATAAGCACATGAAAAGATGCTCAACATAGTAAGTCATTACAGAAATGCAAATAAAAGCCACAATGAGATATCACTACACATCCATTAGAATGGCTAAAATTTTTTAAAAAGTGACAATACCGTATTGGAGAGGATGTGGAGAAATTGGATAACCCATAGATTGCTGGTGGGAATGTAAAATGGTGCGGCCATCTGTGCTATGGAAAATAGTTTGGCAGTTTTTTAAAACGAAAAATGGACTTACCATATAACCCAACAGATGCACTTGGGGCATTTATCTCAGAGAAATGAAAACTTATGTCCACACAAAAACTTGTACACGAAAGTTCATAGCAGCTCTATTTGTAATAAGCCAAAGTGAAAACCACCAAAGTGTCCTTCAATGGGTGAACAGTTAAACCGTGATACCTCCATACCATGAAATACTACTCAGCTACAAAAAAGAACAAAGTAATGATACATGCAACAACGTGGATGACCCTTGACGGAATTATGCTGAGTGAAAAAAGTAAAGCTCAAAAGGTTACATACTGTATCACTGCATTTTTATAATATTCTTAAAATAATAAAAATATAGAGATGGAGAACAGATTAGTAGTTGCCACGAGTTAGAGACTAGGGGGAAGGAGTGGGTATCCATATAAACATGTAGCAGGGAGCCTTGTGATGGAACAGTTCCGTATCTTGACTGCTGAGCTGGTTACATGAAGCAACACATGATAAAACTGCATAGACCTATACAGATGCACGCACACACACTAATGAGTGCATGTAAAACTGGTGATATCTGCAAAAGCTCTTTGGAGGGTACCGATATCAACGTCCCGGTTTTCATATTGTATATAGTTATGAGAGAGGTGGACACTGAGGGAGGTTGGGTGAAAGGTGCACAGGATCTCCCTGTACATCTTTTTTTTTTTTACAACTTCCTATGAATCTATAATTATTTCAAAACAAAAAGTTTTTAAAAAGTTATGTATGATTTCATTAGTAAAACATTCTCAAAAACACAAAACCATAGGGATGAAGAACATACCAGTGGTTGCCAAAGGATAGGATGGGGTACAGATCAGGTGTGAATACAAAGAGGTAGCAAGAGGAAGTTCTCTTGTGGTGACAGAAAAGAAGGCGCTACCGCCAGAGTCCTGGACTCAGGGGACTGCAGGGTGATGGAGAGAAATGGGCAGATTCATTCTCCACCTTGGAGGCAGAATGGCTTGTGCAACAGATGTGGGGGATAGGGGTCACCAATGACATCTCTCGTTCTGGATGGAAGAACTACAAAAAGGTTGTACCTTTTGTGGAAACAGAAAAGGGGGAGGAGAATCAAGACAGGTTAAGACTGGACACAGTTTCCAAGTGGAGATGTTACACAGGCAGTTAGATCTGCCAGCCTGAGAAGAAACTGGGCACCAGCAACATAAAGATATTTAAATATCTTTTAATTTAAATAATTTAACTTCTTGTAAGCCTGCCTGCTTGGAGACAAGAAATTCAACCCTCTTTAACATCTATGTTTTGCCCTCCTCACAATCCTCAATTTCTACTGAAACAGTTCAGAAGATTAATTTGACACTGTATTAGTTTCCTAGTGCTCCTGTAACATATTACCATAAACTTCCTGGCTCAAAACAACACAAAGCTATTATTTTATGGTCACCGGGTTAAAATCAAGGTGTCAGCAGGACCGCACTCCTTGGGGCCCTGGAGGAGCCTACATTCATTGGTTGTAGCCCACAGTCAGCAATCCCATCACTCTGACCTGTTTCTGTCCTCATATCCCATACTCTGACTCTGACCCTCCTGCCTCCCTCTTATCAGGACCTTTGTGATGACATTGGTTCCGCCCAGATAATCCAGGATAATCTCCCCACCTCAGGATCCTTAACTTAATCACATCTGCAAAGACCCTTTTGCTATGTAACCTAATATATCTACAGGTTTCGAGGATTAGGATGGGGAAATATTTGGGGCCATTATTCTGCCTACCAAAAACATTATGTTTTTCTATTCTTAAAGAGAGCTTGGTTTCCTTTAAAAACCCTTTCCTGAAACCTACATAACAGTTATAACCAAATAACAACGACAGTTTAGATTTAAAAAAAAAGATTTAAAAGTTTTTATTTCTTTATCAAACACCATCACAGTCATAATGGATATAATGTTTAAAAAGCCAAAATGTATTCGTGATATAAAAAACAAAGGTGCAAGATGAAAAGTCAGAATATTCTGTCCCATTTTCAAAACAGAATGCTGTGATTTATTGTGTATCCTTCCAGAAATGTCGTGTCTAAAGCTTGTGTTTTATACTTTATAATATAAAATATGTTTCATCTGCACACAGGCACATACACAAATGTAATCAACGTGTACTAACTGGAAGCTTTTTTCACTTACGGTTCCTGGACTCCACTCCATATCCATACAGACACATCAGTTGTATTCCTTTATAAAGCTATCTGAAGATCCACTCTACACAGGGACCATAAGTTATTCTGATGGACATTTAAGTTTGTCCTGTTTTTTGGCTATTATAAGCAATGGGCAACAAATCTCTTTGCACATATATTTTACACACTTGTGGATTTCTGAAACAGAAATGCCAAGAGGTAGAACTGCAAGGCCAAGAGCATGGCTGCATTTAAAAATTTCAGTAAATGTTGCAGAAGCTCCGGCAAATGGCTGTTGCATTCACACCACTATGACTCCCACCAACAATGTGTGAGAGAGGTCGATTCCCTCTGCTCTGAGATCAGAACACCAAAACCTGTTAAAAAAAATAATTAACTCCCCTAAATTTAATGTGTAAATTCAATAAAAAGGCCACCAGAATTATTTTTTGAACTTGACAAAATTAGACTCAAGCTTCTTTATTAAAATAAAGACATGAGAAAGAAGAGGAGCAAATGATAGACATGAACAGGTAATTCACAATAAAATAAATGCCATGGCTGATCCATGTAAAAAGCTGCTCTCTGAGTCAAAGACATGTGAATTAAAACACCACGGGGCCTCTGACCCCAGCCTCCTCCCCTGCCTCACTCTCCTTGCATTTCACCCCTCAGAATCCACCGACCACTCAGGCTGTACTTCTTGTAAGCCAGGTGCTGTGCCCAGCACTTGCCTGAATTCATGCATCTGATCCTCCCCGCAACCCAACAAGGAAGATTAACAGCACTGTCCTCATTTTGTAGACGAGGACACCAAGGCAGAAAGAGCTTGAGTAAACCCTAATCAAGGCCTTATGGCTGGGGAGGAGGAAGCCAGGAACTCTGCACCCATGGCCCTAAGCACCCTGCCATCCTAGCTCTCAGCCTCCTGCTCTGGTACACCCCTGCCCAGTCCACTGCCCCTGCCTTCTCTCTTAGCATCCTCCATCCAGGGCTCACCAGTCAGCCTCTCTCACTTGGGTGCTGTGCACAATCTGCCCCACGCCACTGGCTGCCCTCTCTGCCTGCCTCTGCTGGCTTCTGAGTCCTGTGTGGTACAAGACTGCGATACCGACATCCACTCCATCTCCATCCCCCTTACAGCAACAAGTCCATGCTCGAACTCCCTCTTCCAGCCCCTCTCACCATTATCCTCTCTGTGCAGACAAACCTGCCTCCTAATTCACTCCAAGGGATGACCCTAGACAACTCCACTTTCCTGGCACACAAACTCCTCTAGGCCTGCACCCTCCCTAGTGGGTCCTCTCAACTTCTCAGAGGAGAGGTTTTCCTTCTGGTCAAAGTAATTCCTGCATCCCAGCGCCCCGCTCTTACCCCTAGGCTGCTGCTCCTCAACAGCTGAGCCCTTGGCAGAGGGGCCAACACGCCCAGTCTCGTCCTCTCCCTGCCCTCTCACTCAGGAACACACACACACACATAAATGTACACCACACCTAAGAAAGCTGCCCAAGACTCTACATGAAGCCATCTTGTCCTGACACTCCTGCCCATCCTTGGGCAGTCTCCCACTGTCTGTGTCCACCTCCACCCTCTGTTCTCTCCTTCCTTGTCCAGAGGCATCCAAGGGTGAGGGCTGGGAGCACCCATTCTGCTGCCAGCCTGCCCGGTCTCAAAGTCCCAGCTCCACCAGTTGCCACTGTAGGACCCTGAACAGCCCTCCTTCACCTCTCTGGGCCTCAGTTTCCTCATCTATAGACTTCTGGGAGAATAGCAGGCCCTGCCTCATGGTGCTGCTGTGAGGACTAAATCAGTACTATTTATAGACCTTAACATCGTGCTGACACACAGCAGTGGCAGAGCAGATTTAGTCCTATCACTATACTTGCACACAAAAGTCCCCTTCGTTCGTCATGCTGCACCCAGAAGGGGACTAGTCTGGCTGCAAGGCTGGGGAAGAGGGTGCTTCTTCTCCTTCCTTCTCCGGTTTCCTCTTTCCCTGTTAGTGGGGTGGGGTTTCAGGGACCGCCCCAGGCTCCGTCTCTAGTCCAGACCTGCCTGCCTCCAGGGCTCCCTGTCCCTGCCATTCCTTCCTGCACATCCAGCCACACACTCCAGAATCCTAAACTCAACACCGCTGGAGAGACCAGGAATTCCTTCTCTCTCTCTCGCCCTGTAACCTCCATCCTGGCTCCTCGCTAGAAGTGGAAACTCAGAGTCCTCAGCTCTTTCCACCCCCCCTTGCACTGAGTTACTTCCACAGCCAGATGCTTCTACTGCATGAGGCTCCTTGAAACCCAGGCTCGAGCCCTCACGGACAGGGCAGCTTCCAGACCAGAGCCCCTGCTCTCCTCACCCCAGTCCCGCTCGCCTCTCCAGCGCCTAACTTGGGGCGCCAGCGAACACAAGCAACGTAGGCCCCGACACCCCGGGGTTCATGGATGCCGTCTGCCCCGCCTGAACGGCTCCTAGTTCTCTGATCGCTTGGGAAACATACGTTTTCTCTCCAAACTGAGTTCAGAGTTCACGTACCAGTGGAAGACAACGTGTCCACGTCCCGGGGCAGCCGCACGGAGGCTGTCGCCTACCCTCCCGCACAGAGAGCCTCCCGCGGCGGGCGGCGTGAGCGCACTGAGGGGGAAACGAGACGTGAGGCGCGGCTGCCGGACAAGCCCCATCCCCTACGCCCGCCTCAGGTCCCCGCCACCAGCTGGGCGCTGAGGGGACGCCGCGGCCGGAGCGTCCACCAGCCCAGCCCAGCCCAGGCCCCGTCCTGCAGCAAGGCAGCCTCGGACCAGATCAGACCCCGTCGGGCTCCGCTGCAGACGGGGCCCTGACCGGACCCGCTCCCGCCCCGTTCACGCCGCCGGAGGGACTTGAACCTGACAGGCCGCTGCCCAGGCCCACTCCATCCCAGGGCGCGGCCCAGGTCCCTTCAGCCCGCCCTGGCCCAGTCCTCCATCCCGGGCCCCGAACGCAAGGCTCACCTACTAGCGCGGGGCAATGGCGGCGCTTCCGGTGGGCGGCGGAAGTGCGCGCGTTCGGCACAACGAACTACAAGTCCCAGAAGACCGCGGGCCGGCGGCGGTTTCTCCCGCCAGCGGCGTCGAGGGTCGAGTGTCTTGCTGCCGCCGCCAGCCCGAGGCCGGGTGTCACGGGACGGTGGCTCGCGTGCTGGTCTCGAGCGTGGTTCCTTCGGCTCTTCTCCTGGGTGCGCCTCTCCCCGTGGCCCCAGGTCTCCTCGTTTGGGGCTGAGGCCGCGACGCCAGAGCGGACGCCTGCGGCCGACGTCGAGCGCGGGGTTCGCGTCCGGGCGGCGCTGCGCCTCCGGCGTCTCCGCCTCGTGGTCCTCCGACGCCTGCCCGCGGAGGAGGGTGCGGCGCGCGGCGGGGCGGCGGGAGTGAGCGCTCCGAGCCCGGCGTCATCCTGGGTCTCGGCCGCCGCGGAGAGGGAGGTCTGGTGGCGCCCGAGCGAGCGTGAGAGCCGGAGGCCGGGCGGCTGGAAGCAAGGCTCCCGGTGGCGGCCGAGGGTGCGCCGTTGGCTCTCTCCGGCCTGCCCTCCGTGCGACAGCGGCAGGCACAGGGCAGCCGGCGGCCCGGGCGGGGCCGCAGGGTGTGGGCCGCAGAGTCGCCTTGCGTCTGCTCGGCCGTCGCTTGGGGGCTCGGTGTCGCCCCCTGGGCTCGGGGGCGGAGACCCGCCGCCGCTGCCCGCCCGGCTGTTCGCGGAGGGCTCCCGCGGAGCCGCCCTGGCCGCGCTCGCACCTCGGGCCCCAGCGTCGCCTTCCGTGCCTGTGGCCGGCCTGCCTGGCGCGGACGCCCCCGGGGCGGGCGCTCCGCACCTGCTGACGCGGTTTTAGTCCTCCCGGAGTCTGCAGTCCGCTTCGAAAGGGAGAGGCTCAGGGAGCGGCGTTGACTCAGGCGAGGGCATTGTGGCCAAGGAGGGATGGCGCGTCTGCGGTTTTCCTCTCTCCAAAGTGGACGCGGGACGCTAGTGTGCCGTTTTGTTGGCTCTGGACGGCGTCGTCTGCGTGGGGTGTCGAACAGTACGCGGTGCCGGCACCGCGGGGCGAAGTCGGCGCTGAGAACGGCAGAGCTGAAAGGTGGAAAGGACCAGGGTCAGTGTTGGGATCCTCCTTGAGTCGCTGAATCCGCTCTGGAACTTTTCCTTCGGAGGTAATAAACGACGCTTTGTGTTCTTGTCGTAGAAAATTTCAAACGTACAAGAGTAAAGAGAATGGAATGGTGAAACGTTATGCTTTCCCCATGTATTATCCAGCTTTATTTACTGTTAGCGCTCTGCCTTTAGACTTATCTTATCCCCACCTGCTCCCAGCCACCACTGGATTATTTTAAAGTAAATCCCGCATACGTCATTTCACCCATAAATACCTAAGAGTGGCTCCCTAAAAGATGATGATTTTTTTTTCCAGAATAGGGAAATCCGTAGAGAAGGTAAATTAGTGGTTGCCTAGGTCTGGGGGGAGTTTGAGGGGAAATGTGAGTGACTGCTAAATGGATATCAGTTTCTTTTGGGGGTGATGAAAATGTTGTAAAATTGATTGTAGTCATGGTTCTAAAACTAAGTACATTAAAAACTATTGAAATGTGCACGTTAAGTGCATGAATTATATATGAATTGTATCTCAATAAAGCTATTTAAAAATCAGTACATAAGGTTACCAACACCTACTGAGATAAAAAATATATAATGGGGGAAAAAAGATATTTTTTCCTCTACCAGTTTTTGTTTAACCATTTGCAGACTTAACAGTATGTTTTTCTCCAAAAAATTCATTTAAATGGCAGACTAGAAACATTTTAACGATCTGTCGGAAAACCCATTTCATGTTTAAGGTACCAGCAACTATGGTGTTATTTACTATTTGAGTTTAGGGATGGTAATTTTTTTATTCCACTCACTATTTCTCTGTTCTTAAGATCTTCAGATTTGTTGAATATTTCCCTGGAGACTGAACAGTCTCAGCATTAAGATACGACAATGTACAGGTTTGTGCTTCAACTTGCCCTTTGCATTTTCAGAGAACTTGGAGTCATCCAGCATTACCAAGGATTGTCTCTCTGTTATAGCTGCCACCCACAGTCCTAAAGTCATCTCACAGTTTGTGATCAGTAATGATTGGTGCAGAGTGCATATGTCAACATGGAGGTACCAATGTCTGGCGACAGCCATCGCAGTCTTCCCTGTCTCTTGGAAAAAATGTTGTGTTTTCGGACATTGAATATCCAGGGGAAGAAAATGGTTCCTAGTTTTTGGTGACAGACCTTGAGCTGGGAGGTAGAGTGCTGGTCATGGGAAGATGTGGTTTCTAGTCTTGACTCTGCTGTGTTATTTTGGGCAAATGCTGGTCTTGGGCATTGGATTCCTCTTCATCAATGAAATCATGTTGACCTCTTCCAACTTTAAGGGCCATTCATATATCTTTACCATGTTAATTCTTTTAATTGAGAAATTGATTGGCTACAAGTTAATTGTACATTAGTTCTGAGTTTGATAATCTCATTATGTAGCTGATTTTGATAGCCAAAGAAAGATTTTTAAATACATAACTACAAAATCATTAACACACCTAAAAATATTAATAATTCCTTAATATCAAATATCCAGTGTTTACTCCAAATTGTGTCAATTTTTTTACATTGTTTATTCAAATTAGGATCTGAACAAGGTTTACACCTTGCATTTGGTTAATGTATGTGTCAATTTTTTTACATTTTGTTTATTCAAATTAGGATCTGAACAAGGTTCACACCTTGTATTTGGTTAATGTATGCTTAAGTCTTATAATTTATGGATTTCTCCCATAAGGGCTTTTTACTTTTATTGCCTTTTATTTGTTGAAACCAGGTAAATTTTCCCATAGGATTTACCACATTCTGGATTTTGGTGATGGTACCCTTATTGTGTCATTTCTCTGTCCCTTGTTTTTCTTGTAAACTGGTAGTTGGATCTAGAGGCTTAATTAGGTTCAAGTTTGCACGTTTGTTTGACAATCCTTCATAGGTGTTGAAGGTGTTTCCTCTTGCATCACATCAGAAGGCACATGTCTGGTGCCCTTCTGTGATGTTTATTTTGATCATTGAAGAGCTGACAGCCTGATCCACCTGTTACAAAGTTCTTCAACATTTTTCACAGAATGGTTTTAGCAAACGTTGATGATCATTGCCTACACCCATTATTTCATTAGGAATTGCAAAATGGTGGTTTTCTTTTTTTTTAATAAATTACTTTTTTTCTTAAATATTGGCACCTGAGCTAACATCTGTTGCCAATCTTTTTTTTTTTCTTTCTCCCCAAAGCCCCCCAGTACATAGTTGTGAGTGTCTCTGGTTGTGCTATGTGGGACGCCACCTCAGCATGACCTGATGAGCAGTGCCACATCTGTGCCCAGGATCCAAACCGGCGAAACCCTGGGCCACCAAAGCGGAGTGTGTGAACTTAACCACTCGGCCATGGGGCCAGCCCCATGGTTTTCTAATTATACCATTATTTCTGCATCTATTTGCTGGAATTCGTCCATAAGGAAAAACTTTCCTTTATCAACCTTTTGGTTACCTTGAGGTATGGTTTGTTCAGAAAAGCTAGGATAAATGCTTTATTCTTTCCCTTTGCTTTGAGAAGACTGAGATGTGCTAGCATCCTCCAAAAGTAGCCAGAGTATGTTTTATATACATAGATTTTTAACATATTCTGTGTGTTTTGATCTATTGCAGTGAATAATTTTTTTTTTTTAGATTGGCACCTGGGCTAACAACTGTTGCCAATTTTTTTTTTCCCCTGCTTTATCTCCCCAAACCCCCCCTGTACATAGTTGTATATCTTAGTTGCAGGTCCTTCTAGTTGTGGGCTGTGGGACGCCACCTCAACATGGCCTGACAAGCGGTGCCATGTCCGCGCCCAGGATCCGAACCCTGGGCCGCCGCAGCTGAGCATGCGAACTTAACCACTCGGCCACAGAGCCGGCCCCTGCAGTGAAGAATTTGATGCTCCACTTGTCCAAATGTTGGCCAGGAGCAGCTCCTTCAAGCTGGCTCCTGTATCCTTTTGACAGGACCTCAGAAGCCTTTGATGGCTTCTTTGCTTTCCAGTCTAAGAAGATGTTGCAAGGCTCAGATTTACATAATCTGTAAATTTCCTACCCCAACTCTAAAATTGGCCATTTCTCTGAGGAACCTGGTTCTTTTTAGTGGGAAATGTGTTTCAGAGACCACGCTCTGGGCAATAGGAGTACTCATTACTACTAGGGTAGTTATTATAAACCTCTACAGTAGACAAAGTTGGGATTTTTTTTTTTAAGAGATAAAACATTTTTGGATTTGTCCTGATATTTTTAATTCAAATTTAGGATGACAGGGCTTTGATTTTTTATTTTATGCTTTGATTTTTTATCTGTGTGGTAAGCTTTTCATTGAATACCTTCAATTTTTAGAGATCACTAAAAAATAATCTAATTTATAATTATGCAAAAACATTTTCATGGTTCCAAAGTGAAAACTACAAAAACAAGTGTACATTCAGAGAAGCCTAGCCTCAGTGCCTGCTCCTCCCTCTGTTCCTGCCCTCTCCCATTGGTAACCATTTATATAAATTTTGGATTATCCTTTCATTTTAAAAATATATATAAACAAGTACATTCTGCATGTGTATCCCTCCCCTTTCCTTAGATAAGGGGTCCCATACCACCCAGTGCTGTGATATACCTTGTGGGTTCCACCTAACCGTTTGGCTGGAGAAGAGTCCCCGGCAGCTGGCCAGGGTACCATTGTATGGCAGGACTGCAGTTCCTTCCACCCGTCCCCTATTGATGACGTGTAAGCCGTGTCTAGCTTTTTGCTATTACAGATAGTGCTGCAAGAGATACTCCTGTGCCTGCGTCCTTTTGTATTTTCTCCAGTGTATGTTTGGAATGGATCCCTAGAAGGTGGGTCAAAGGTAAACGTATATGTACTTTTGCCCAGTACCTCTCCTTTGAGGTTGTACCTTTTTGCATCTCACCAACAATGTGTGAGAGGGTGTGTTCCCCACAGTCTCATCCACTGGCTTGGCATCAAACTTTTGAATCTTTGCCAATCTGATAAGTAAGAAATGGTGTTTCAGTGTACCTCTAATTTGCATTTCTCTAATTATGAGTGAGGGTTTCTCTAATTGTATCTTTTAATATGTTTCAGAGCCATTTCGTTTCTTGTTCTGTGAACTGATCATATTTTGCCCATTTTTCTGTAGGGTTGTTAGTCTTTTAGTCTGGCTTTAGAAGTTCTTTATTTGGGCCACCCTGGTGGCGTAGTGGTTAAGCTCATATGCTCCACTTTGGTGGCCCGGGGTTCGAGGGTTCAGATCCCAGGTGCGGACCTACACCACTCATCAAGCCATGCTGTGGCAGTGTCCCACGCTGGGTGTGTTCCCAGCTCTAGGCACAAAATAGAGGAAGATTGGCAACAGGTGTTAGCTCAGGTCCAGTTTTCCTCACCAAAATAAATAAAGTCTGAGTCCCCCCCACATGCAAAAAGAAGTTCTTTATTTATTAGCAATATTAACCTGTAATTTAAATTGCAAATTGCAGTTTTTTGCAGTTTGTAATCTTTTTATATTGCTAATGGTATCGTGGGATTTTTTTTCCCCATACAAAAGTTTATTATTATTTTTTGCAAGAAAAGATTTGCTCTGAGCTAAGATCTGTTGTCAATCTTCCTCTTTTTTTTTTCGTCCCCAAAGCCCCAGTGCATGATTGTATATCCTAGTTGTAAGTCTTTGTAGTTCTTCTGTGTGAGACACCACCACAGCATGCCAACTGACAGATGGGTGGTGTGGTTCCAAGACCAGGTAATGAGCCTGGGCTGCTGAAGCTGTGAGAACAACGAACTTTAACCACTAGGCCATCAAGTCTGGCTCACAAAAGTTTATTTTTACATCATCAACTTTATTAATATTTTTCTTTATTGCTTCTGGATTTTGATTCATGGATAAGCAGTATTCTCAAGTTATGGGGGAATTCACCCATGTTTCCTCTAGTACTTGTATAGCTTTATATTTTACATTTAAATCTTTGATCCACTTGGAATGCATCCTAGTGTAGGGTGTGAGGAATAACTTACATCTTACCTTTTGCCATGTGCTTCCACAGTTACACTAAGTAGTCTAGGTAAATAGACTACCTTTTCCTGTTTTGAGGTGCCTCTTTTATCATACACTAAATTTCCACATGCAGTTGAATCTATTTCTAGATCCTCTTTTCTGTTGGATTCGTCTGTCTATTCATGTGCCAATACTACAATTTTTCAAAGATAAAGGCTTTGTAATATGTTTTACTGTCTAGTAGAGCTAGCCCTCCCTCATTGCCATTTCCCAGGGTGTGCCTGACTCTTGCTTGTTTATTATTTAGCCCTTATAAATTATGGAGGGTTGGAAGAGGAGCTAGTAATAATAGTAATATCAGTAGTAATAAAGAGCTTACTGACTGCCAGCCCAGTAAAGCACGAGTGTGTATTAAGTCAGCACTCCTCTCAGCAACCCTATAAGATGGACACTATATTAACTTCCCCACGGAACAGATAGGAAAACTGAGGCACAGGGAGGTTAAGTAACTGGCCCAAATTGGCACAGCTGGTAAGTGGAGGAGCCCAGATTTGAACCGAGACCATCTTGCTCCAGAGCTTGGGTTTTTCCCACTATCTGCCAGTTTTAGACCAGACTGACTTGGAAATTCTGGATTCCCTCAACTCCTAGTTCTCAGCCATGTCTCCTCTTCTACTGGACCCTCAATTTCCCTAGCGCTCCCAGGAGGAGGCCTCAAGTGGAGCCCTCAAAGTTGGGGTGTACAGGCTGAGCATTGGTGCTGCTGGCAAGAACCACTCACCTCACTCAGATGAGGTGAGATTGCAGGCAGAAGCAGCCCAGAGCACCGCCACCCCCGGGACGGGAGGGAACACTGCTGACCACTTCTCTGACCCGGCTGGGCTTTCCAGGTTTGGGTGCGTTCCCAGCTCTAGGCATAAAACATCATCCTGTGTGACACTCCCCGGCTGGGTAGCCCCTCACACAGCTCCCGGGAATGCCACTCCCATGCAGGGCACTGCTCATGCGGCCTTTTTCTTCCTGTTTTGTGGGTTTTTAGTTTCTCAAACCTGCTTTTCTTTCTCTTGGTGTTACGAATGGAATTCCTGCCTTTGGTTCT